GCGTTTTGAGATCCTTCCCGGGACCCCGGCGGGGCGCGCCGAAGCCCCCGGGGGAGTTCCTTCGGAAAAGAACCAAAACCAAAACCGAAACCATCTAGCACGCCAGCCTCCTCCTCCTCCTCCTCCTCCTCCTCCTCCTCCTCCTCCTCCTCCTCCTCCCCTGCGATGAATCGACAGGGGGCCCCGGCCGTTCGACACGGGAAGGTGGTGGGGAGGTTTAGCAGCCAGGCGCAACACTGTATAGTAGACTGGATGCGGCTGTGCTTTCCCAGTCGTGCTAAACCAGCGCGAGGGCGCTGAATGTTACGACGAGTCTCGATGATTGCAGCATTCCTTGAGACGTCCTGCGGATATCCTCGGTACCAAAGAATGTCTCCCCCCCCTCGCCCTCCTGCCCTGGGCCGCCCTGCATCCGTCGGCCCTAAGATGGGGTCCCCTTCTTCTGGGCCCCACGAACCTGCAAGAACGGACGCACGGTCTACGATTTGGGCCCCTGGGGCCTCCTGGGGGTCTAAGAGGGCGTCAACGCGACTCAAGACGACCTCAGCACGGACCAAGACAGCCCAAAACAGTTCAAGATGGCCCCAGAAAGGGCCCCCAAACCCCCCAAGACCACACTCAAGAGCGCCTCCAGAAGGTATAATATTTGATGTCCTCAGGTTTTGTTTATCGGATCTTAGCGTTCTCCCTTGTTCGACTCTCAGAGGCCCATGACGGCCCAAGCAGCCTCCAAGATGGCCCCAAAACGACCCCAAGATGGGCCGAAGACGTTCTCAAAATGGCCCAAATAAGCTCCCAGACAGTCCAAGAGGCCCCCCAAATGGGCCAACAGGACCCCGAAAGAGCCCCAAGGCGGCCAGGAAAGGCCCACAAACACAGCTTCCAGAGAGGCCAGACGGCGCAAGAGCGCTCCAAGACTGCCCAAGAGGCTCCAAGAGCGCCTCCAGAGGCCAAAAACCTTGACTTCCTGAGGTTTTTTAACGCAGTCTAGCGTTCTCGCCCTTTTCGACTCTCGGGGGCCCATGACGGCCCAAGCAGCCTCCAAAACTGGCCCCAGGACTGCCAGAAAGGCCCCAAAACGGCCCCTCAAGACGGCTCCAAGAGGCCCCCACAGCGGCCAAAGAGCACCCCAAGAGAGCCACAAGGCGGCCCCGAGAGCCCCCAAAGACGGCCTCTGAAGGGGCCAGACGGCGGAAGAGCATCCCAAGACGGCCCACGAGGCCCCCGAAAGGCCCCAAGAGGTCCCAAAGAGGCCCCCGAAAAAGCGCACAAGAAGCATCCAGGAGGCCTCCAAGAAAGCCGCCAAACGGCCCAACGAAACCACCAAGACAACCCGCGGAATTGTCTACGAATGGCGCGTTGGTCCCATGCTCCTCGGAACTTGAACGTGGCGTCGCCTTCTGCTGACACGCGGTGAATGCCCATTGCCCTCGTGGACATGCGCACGCTCGTCCGGGCGATGAAGGGGGGGCACGGCCGCCCCCCTGCGGCACTGGCAGCGCCCCAGGGCGGTCAGCACGACACGGCACAGCTTCGCGGCAGACGAGGGCAAACCACCCGACGCCCCGTCTTCACGTGCTCCGGACGTGCACCCCGCGGAGCAAGAGGGATCCCCGTCCGGAAGCGACGTGCTGCCAGAGGCACTTCGCGGAGCGGAGCGGAAGGCCTGCTGCAGAACACCTCATGGATGCGCACTTGCCAGCTACTTTGCATTATTACGCACCCCCCCCTTTCCCCCATCCCGGGGGTCACACTCCATTTGCGTCGACAAAACGTGGTGTACCCACTCTGGGTTTCAAAAACTTCCCAAACTTGTTGGGAAGGTAAAGATTTGGTCCTCATGGGCACCCTGGGGACCCAAGAGGACGTCAAGACGGCTCAAGATGGCTTCAAGACAGCCCAAGAAGACCCTAAGACGGCCGGAGAGGCCCCCAAGACGGCCCTGAAAGGCCCCAAGGCGGCCCCCAAGAACGCCTCCAGAGGACAAAACATTGTTTTATACGTTTGGAATGGTTTTCGTGTTCTCGCTTTTTGGGACTCTCGAGGGCCCGTGGCGGCCCCGACAGCCTCCAAAACTGTCCCCTCAAGGGCGACCCAAGATGGCCAAAGAGGCTCCCAAGACGGTCCAAGAGGCCCCGAAGGCTGCCCACGAGGACCCCAAGAGAGCCCCCAAGACAGCCCCGAGGCGGCTCCGACAGGCACCCAGGACGCCCTCCGAAGGAGCCAGACGGCGCAAGCACACCCCAAGACGGCCCCAGGCGCCCCCATGAGGCTTCAAATGTTCCAGGCGTGCACCCCGCGAAGCGCGAGGAATCAGGGTCGTGCTGCTGCTCTCCGTCGTGCTGCTTAGCGTCGTGCTGCTGCTCTCCGTAGTGCTGCTCAATGTCGTGCTGCTGCTCTCCGTCGTGCTGCTCAACGAACTGGTGAGCGACACGCTGCTGCTCTCACTCGTGGATGTCAGAGTTGTGCTGCTGCTCGCCGTAAGGCTGCTCTGTGACGTGCTGGTCAACGTCCCGGTACTGGAACCAGTCGTGCTTGTGCCCGTCGTGGAGGTCAACGAAATGGTGCTCGACAATGTGCTCGTCGCACTCGTGGATGTCAGAGTCGTGCTGCTGCTCTGCGTCGTGCTGCTTAGCGTCGTGCTGCTGCTCTCCGTGGTGCTGCTCAATGTCGTGCTGCTGCTCTCCGTCGTGCTGCTCAACGAACTGGTGAGCGACACGCTGCTGGTCTCACTCGTGGATGTCAGAGTTGTGCTGCTGCTCGCCGTAAGACTGCTCTGTGACGTGCTGGTCAACGTCACGGTACTGGAACCAGTCGTGCTTGTGCCCGTCGTGGAGGTCAACGAAATGGTGCTCGACAATGTGCTCGTCGCACTCGTGGATGTCAGAGTCGTGCTGCTGCTCTGCGTCGTGCTGCTTAGCGTCGTGCTGCTGCTCTCCGTCGTGCTGCTCAATGTCGTGCTGCTGCTCTCCGTCGTGCTGCTCAACGAACTGGTGAGCGACACGCTGCTGCTCTCACTCGTGGATGTCAGAGTTGTGCTGCTGCTCGCCGTAAGGCTGCTCTGTGACGTGCTGGTCAACGTCACGGTACTGGAACCAGTCGTGCTTGTGCCCGTCGTGGAGGTCAACGAAATGGTGCTCGACAGTGTGCTCGTCGCACTCGTGGATGTCAGAGTCGTGCTGCTGCTCTGCGTCGTGCTGCTTAGCGTCGTGCTGCTGCTCTCCGTGGTGCTGCTCAATGTCGTGCTGCTGCTCTCCGTCGTGCTGCTCAGCGAACTGGTGAGCGACACGCTGCTGGTCTCACTCGTGGATGTCAGAGTTTGTGCTGCTTTGTGCTCCTGCCGCAAAACCAGACTGCTCTGTGGACTTGCTGGTCTACGTCCAACGGTATGGAACCAACGATCGTGCTTGTGCCCGTCGTGGAGGCTCAACGAAATGGTGCTTCGCACAGTGTGCTCGTCGCGCTCGTGGATGTCAGAGTCGTGCTTCGTGCTCTGCGTCGTGCTGCTTAGCTTCGCTGCCTGCTCATCCGTCGTGCTGCTCTGTCGTGCTGCTTGCTCTCCCGTCTGCTGCTCAAGCGAACTGGTGAGCGGACCGCTGCTGGTCTCACTCGTGATGTCAGAGTTGTGCTGCTGCTCGCGCCAGCTGCTCTGTGACGTGCGGTCAACGTCACGGTACTGGAATCACCGCCCCCTCGTGCTTTTGTGCCCGTCGTGGAGGTCAACGAAATGGTGCTCGACAGTGTGCTCGTCGCACTCGTGGATGTCAGAGTCGTGCTGCTGCTCTGCGTCGTGCTGCTTAGCGTCGTGCTGCTGCTCTCCGTCGTGCTGCTCAATGTCGTGCTGCTGCTCTCCGTCGTGCTGCTCAGCGAACTGGTGAGCGACACGCTGCCGGTCTCACTTGTGGATGTCAGAGTTGTGCTGCTGCTCGCCGTAAGGCTGCTCTGTGACGTGCTGGTCAACGTCACGGTACTGGAACCAGTCGTGCTTGTGCCCGTCGTGGAGGTCAACGAAATGGTGCTCGACAATGTGCTCGTCGCACTCGTGGATGTCAGAGTCGTGCAGCTGCTCTGACGTCGTGCGCTGGTCCTCCTCCTGCTGCTCTCCGTGGTGCTGCCATGTCGTGCTGCGCTCTCCGTCGTGCGCTCACGAACTGTGAGTGCGAACACGCTGCTGGTCTCACTCGTGATTGTCATAGTTGTGCTGCTGCTCGCCGTAGACTGCTCTGTGACGCTGCTGGTCCCAACGTCACGGTACTGGAACCCAGTCGTGCTTGTGCCCGTCGTGGAGGTCAACGAAATGGTGCTCGACAGTGTGCTCGTCGCACTCGTGGATGTCAGAGTCGTGCTGCTGCTCTGCGTCGTGCTGCTTAGCGTCGTGCTGCTGCTCTCCGTCGTGCTGCTCAATGTCGTGCTGCTGCTCTCCGTCGTGCTGCTCAACGAACTGGTGAGCGACACGCTTGCTCGGTTCTCACCTCGTGGATGTCATAGCTTGTGCTGCTGCTCTCCGTAAAAAAAAAACATAAAACAAAAAACACAAAAAAGCATAACAATTGAACGACAAACCAGGCTGACTCTGTGAACGTGCTGTTCGAACGTCACAGGTATGGAACGCTGTCTTGCTTGTGCCCGTCGTGGAGGTCAACGAAATGGTGCTCGACAATGTGCTCGTCGCACTCGTGGATGTCAGAGTCGTGCTGCTGCTCTGCGTCGTGCTGCTTAGCGTCGTGCTGCTGCTCCCCGTGGTGCTGCTCAATGTCGTGCTGCTGCTCTCCGTCGTGCTGCTCAACGAACTGGTGAGCGACACGCTGCTGGTCTCACTCGTGGGGTCCAAGCCTTTGTGCTGCTGCTCGCCGTAAGGCTGCTCTGTGACGTGCTGGTCAACGTCCCGGTACTGGAACCAGTCGTGCTTGTGCCCGTCGTGGAGGTCAACGAAATGGTGCTCGACAATGTGCTCGTCGCACTCGTGGATGTCAGAGTCGTGCTGCTGCTCTGCGTCGTGCTGCTTAGCGTCGTGCTGCTGCTCTCCGTGGTGCTGCTCAATGTCGTGCTGCTGCTCTCCGTCGTGCTGCTCAACGAACTGGTGAGCGACACGCTGCTGGTCTCACTCGTGGATGTCAGAGTTGTGCTGCTGCTCGCCGTAAGGCTGCTCTGTGACGTGCTGGTCAACGTCACGGTACTGGAACCAGTCGTGCTTGTGCCCGTCGTGGAGGTCAACGAAATGGTGCTCGACAATGTGCTCGTCGCACTCGTGGATGTCAGAGTCGTGCTGCTGCTCTGCGTCGTGCTGCTTAGCGTCGTGCTGCTGCTCTCCGTCGTGCTGCTCAATGTCGTGCTGCTGCTCTCCGTCGTGCTGCTCAACGAACTGGTGAGCGACACGCTGCTGGTCTCACTCGTGGATGTCAGAGTTGTGCTGCTGCTCGCCGGGTAAAGCTGCTGTGTGACGTGCGGTCAAACGTCATGGGGGGGTTACTGAACCAGTCGTGCTCTGTGCGCCCGTCGTGGGAGGTCTCACGAATGGTGCTCCGACAATAGTGCTCGTCGCACTCGTGGATGTCAAGTCGGCTGCCTGCTACTGCGTTCCGTGCGGCTTAGCGTCGCGTGGCTGCTGCTCTCACGTCGTGCTGCTCATGTTCGTGCTGCTGCTCTCCGTCCGTGCTTCTCAACCGACTGGTGAGCGACACGCTGCTGGTCTCACTCGTGGATGTCAGAGTTGTGCTGCTGCTCGCCGTAAGACTGCTCTGTGACGTGCTGGTCAACGTCACGGTACTGGAACCAGTCGTGCTTGTGCCCGTCGTGGAGGTCAACGAAATGGTGCTCGACAGTGTGCTCGTCGCACTCGTGGATGTCAGAGTCGTGCTGCTGCTCTGCGTCGTGCTGCTTAGCGTCGTGCTGCTGCTCTCCGTGGTGCTGCTCAATGTCGTGCTGCTGCTCTCCGTCGTGCTGCTCAACGAACTGGTGAGCGACACGCTGCTGGTCTCACTCGTGGATGTCAGAGTTGTGCTGCTGCTCGCCGTAAGGCTGCTCTGTGACGTGCTGGTCAACGTCACGGTACTGGAACCAGTCGTGCTTGTGCCCGTCGTGGAGGTCAACGAAATGGTGCTCGACAATGTGCTCGTCGCACTCGTGGATGTCAGAGTCGTGCTGCTGCTCTGCGTCGTGCTGCTTAGCGTCGTGCTGCTGCTTTCCGTGGTGCTGCTCAATGTCGTGCTGCTGCTCTCCGTGGTGCTGCTCAATGTCGTACTGCTGCTCCCCGTCGTGCTGCTCAACGAACTGGTGAGCGACACGCTGCTGGTCTCACTCGTGGATGTCAGAGTTGTGCTGCTGCTCGCCGTAAGGCTGCTCTGTGACGTGCTGGTCAACGTCACGGTACTGGAACCAGTCGTGCTTGTGCCCGTCGTGGAGGTCAACGAAATGGTGCTCGACAATGTGCTCGTCGCACTCGTGGATGTCAGAGTCGTGCTGCTGCTCTGCGTCGTGCTGCTCAGCGTCGTGCTGCTGCTTTCCGTGGTGCTGCTCAATGTCGTGCTGCTGCTCTCCGTCGTGCTGGTGAGCGACACGCTGCTGGTCTCACTCGTGGATGTCAGAGTTGTGCTGCTGCTCACCGTAAGGCTGCTCTGTGACGTGCTAGTCAACGTCGTGGTGCTCGTTGCACTCGTGGATGTCAAAGACGTGCTGCTGCTCTGCGTCGTGCTGCTCAGCGTCGTGCTGCTGCCTTCCGTGGTGCTGCTCAATGTCGTGCTGCTGCTCCCCGTCGTGTTTGTGCCCGTCATGCTGGAACCAGTGGTACTCGAACCAGTCGTGCGTGTGCCCGTCGGGGTGATCATTGAAGTAGTGCTCGACAGAGTGCTAGGTTGACTTGTGGATGTCATTATCGTGGTGCTGATCTCCGTCGTGCTGCTCAGCGTCGTGGTGAGCGATACGCTGCTGGTCTTGCTTGTTGACGTCGAAGTAATGCTGCTGCTTTGCGTTGTGCTGTTCAGCGTTTCAGTGCTGGTACTGGTCGTGCCGGTCAACGTCGCGGTGATGCTAATAGTTGTCGCTGTATGGTTTGTACCATCTAGGCGACGGCGTGGAGTCCTCGGCAGACGCGGCGACATGTTGATGTCGTAGCCCTTCAGACCCACCGCTGCAATCGATTCAATAGGTTCGTCGCTTCTCTTGGCGAACCTGACAACGACTACTCCGTTGTACCAAACATCAATATAGCTGGCGGCATTCTGAAAAAATATAAGCTGGCCCCGTTGCGAGGCCACCAGGCTGTGCGACCAACTTCTTCTGCAAACATGTGTTTGTGGGCGAGCCCAAATTTTAGTTTCGTCAAGTGCCCTGAATGGCTGGCTCACTGACTGACTTACGCACTGACATCGTGATTGACGAATTTATTGGCCGACTGCCTGGTCTCACCGCTATCAAGCAATGTGAACGTCGGTCGTCGAGCGAGAAACTCGTGCTGCACCCGCGATCAAACAATGCTTATCAGACTTACGGCTGTGATCCACGTATGGACTTCTCTAACAGGGAGACCAATGGACCTCGCCCCCGAACCCTCCTCCTGGTGCCCACCCAAACACATGCCGTCCAAGATGGTCTGCCCACAACTCCTAGATGGCCGTGAGACCTCGACCACTGAATACCCATCAGCCCCCAACATGAGCCCCAATAGAACCAGACGTAGTTCACATAGCGCCCCCCGAGAAGCGAAAACTGGAAATCCATCGAGGTGTCGTGCATTCTCCCCGTCCTCCCCCATCTCCAGCACGAGATGGCCCCGAGCGGGGCCCCATACAGTCGTCCTGGACTGTCCAAAAGTGCCCCTTGGAGAATACCTGGCGGCGGCCCTGGAGGCACCTCAAAGATGGGCCAATGTGAAGGGGAACTGAGACACACAAATAAATACACACAAATAAACATATCCCCCATATTTTCCCATATTTTCTGGGTTTTTGTCTTCCCCCTCACTTCCCATATTTTCCCATATTCTCTGGGAATCGACGATTAATTGTGTCTGTGTGTTTTTCCCCCTCCTGACAATGTGGCTCCCGAGCCATCCCCAGGGACACGACCCTACGACTGCCCAAGACCCCACCCCGACACGGTCCGACGCGCGCCCCCCAGAAGGCCCCTCTTGGCCCTCGAACGCAGTCCAGACTTTTCAAATCCTCCTCCTCCTCCTCCTCCTCCTCCTCCTCCTCCTCCTCCTCCTCCTCCTCCCCGATCGCTCTGGACGCGCGTGCGGGCTGGAGAGAAGCGTGGCGCCCTCGGGCCGACGAGCAGCGATACCAAACGGTACCGATACCGCTACTCCCTGGACCTCTCCCAGGGTGCCTTCTGACCAGAATTCCGAGGCGAACCCGGCGGTGGCGACGAGGGCCTCCCAGGGAGGCCCGAGAAGGAGAAAACGAGCGAGGCGTAGAGGTAGGGGTGCCTTGCCCTCCTCTGAAACCCGGCGGCTCCGCCGCGCGGACCCGCCGCAGCCGAGCATGCCCGGGGCTGCAGCGGAGGCGAGCCCGGGCACAGAGGGGGCGAGAGCGCAGGGCGGGAGGGAGCCCCGACTCTGCCCCGGGAGGGCCCCCCTCCGGGGGACTAGTCCCCGCACAGCTTGGGGGGGGCACGGCGGCGCCCCGCGCTCCCCCGACTCTCTCCGACTGCGGAGGGTGGTGACGGCGGGGAGGAAGCTGCTCTTGGGGCCCCTCGGCGCTCCTCCAGTGCTTTCCCTCCTCCGCTCCTCCTCTGCCTCGTCCTCCTCGTCGTCGGCCCCTCTCCCACTCCCCCCGGCCCCTCTCCCGCTCCCCTCGCCCTCGTCCTGTCTCTCGCCGCTCCCTCGTGCAGGAGCTGGGGCAGCGCGTGCTGCTGATTCTCCCTTTCGTTTCGTGCCTCCCTTGTTCGTCCCGCCCCCTGCCCTCGTGCGGAGCCCCGCCCAACCCTACCGGATGCCATCATAATGAGCATCGTTTATCCGATCCTTATCCCCAGCGGGGTGGCCTGGGCCCCACTGGCCGATTTCCCCCCCTAGATGGGGATATAGGCCGACTCCTTCGGGTTTCGAGGGGTGTCTCCCCAACTGGGGGGGTAATTTGGTGGGGGTCTCGAAGGGGATGGGGATGGGGATGGGGGTCGGTTAAACGATACTGGCATTACCCTGAAGACTGTCTTATCCCCATCCTCTCCCTCCAAAGCCCCTTCACCCTTCGCGTCCTGACTACGTTGTATGATCCTTGGGACGCGTGCCGCTTGAATTTTCAGCCAGCGAAGATGCAGCCTATGGCGACCCTACCAGCAGGAAGCTCAATTTCCGGTCACCGAGGGCGCAACCTGTGTTGCACGGTTACCGACGGCGCAACCAATGTAGCACTATGGGCGCAATGAGCAGCACAACCCCTGGATGCCGCAGCTTCATGACCCACCACATGGAGCAACCAATGGCGAAATCCATGGAGTTGTGTTGTAAGAGAGTGAATTACGTGTATAGCGACGGAAGCGGGATATATGAATCGATCAACGCCTGCGTGTTCATAAATCAAAGCGAGTTGAAACTCCAGGTGTAGACGGTTGTCAATTTGGAGTTATTACGAAAATTGTAATTAAAACCAAGGCAAGCTATGTGTCTACAAGAAGAAAAACAGCATACACATAAACATGTAGCGAGCTCCAGGCGGACTTCTTGGATCCGCGCCGGACCCCTCTCGATGGTGCGCGGAGCACGCCCGGGGCGGCGCCAGAGGCGCCGCCGGGGGGGCCCAACGCGGATCCAAGAAATCCGCGAGGAGCGCCAGAAGTTTATGTTTGTGCCGTTCTTTTTCTTCTTCGAATATCAACCCTTGGATGGCGCAACACATGGATAGCACAAACAACGGCGCGACCCGAGGCGCAGTGCGAAGCGCATCCCAGAACACGACCCATTGGACCTCGCAACCACGGCACAGCCCCGTGCCTGGAAAAACCTAAGGGCAATCAAGCCGCAGCCCAGGAAACGCGCAACCAATGGCGCAACTCATGGGAGGCGTCACTAAAGGAATAAAGCACACCATAAACATAAACTTTTGACGCTCCACGCGGAGCGCAAAAAGTTTACGCTTGTGGCGTTTTTTCTTTTTCGAATAACCCAAGGATGGCGGAATGTGTGACGCATCCAGTGGGTGGCAAAACCCACGGCGCAGCCAGTTGCTCGAATAGTGGTGATGCGGATGTGATCAGACTGGATGGGATGCGGCACCAGCTTGGACCCCTGCGACGACAACGACGACGACAACGAGACCCAAAGCGGGGAGGAGCAGACTGACAGGGCCCACAGCGGTCGGACCTGGAAATCCCTGGGGGGCTACAACTGATTGCTGCTCGTCAGCTGGGCTGGCGGCGGTAACCAGGCGGCGAGCTGTCTTAGGGAACAATCATGGAAGTCCTCACCCGTCGCCGTCGTCCTCCTCCTCCTCCTCGTCGCCGCTTGCCGGCGCCAGGGCGGGCGGGCGGGACACGTCCTCGTCGTCGTGATCCTCGTCGTCGTCGTCGTCGTCCTCGTCGTCGTTCGCCGACGCTCAGGTGGGGTGGGGATGGGTTTGAACCCCCCCGCGATCTTTTGAAGGGAGGGGAGTTCGAAAGGAATAGGGGGGGAGTTTCGACCCCCCACCCGTGGGACTTTCGGGGGGGGCCCCTGACCTTCTCCCAGATTGCGCAAAGGCGCTGCTGGGAGACAGTACTGCTGCAATGTCGAATTTCCTCGACCGTCCTGCCTCAGTCCTGCTATTTCTGCCACCAACGTTTGTAACAATACTCGCTACTTGCTCTAACGCAGCACTGTATACTATATTCAAGCATTGTATTTCCGTGGCTTCAGTGATCTGCTACATCCACTGTGCGCTGTGCACTGTGTACAGTCCACAGTTGGCACCCATGCCTTCCCAAGGCTTCCCGAAGGCCCCCCTGTACCACGTAAGGTCTCACCCTCCCCCGAAGGCTTGCCAGAATGCTCCAACGCCCCCTGGAGAATGCAGAACATGTTGGGGGCACCGGGAATAACTCCCCGACTCCCCCCCCTGTATCCTCGACCCCCCGACTCCCCGACTGGCCGACTCCTCGACTCCCCGACCCCCCGACTGGCCGAGTCTCCCACTGGTCGACTCCCTGACCCTCCGACTCCTCGACTGGCCGATCCCCTGACACCCCAAATGCTGGACTCCCCGACTGCCCGACTGGCCGACTCCCCGACTTTCCGAGTCTCTTGCTCCCCGACTCCCCGACTCGGCTCCCCGATTGGCCGACTTTCCGACCGGCCGACTCCCCGACTGGCCGACTCCCCGACTGGCCAACTCTCCAACTCCCCGACGCCCCGACCCCCGGCTGGCCGACTCCCCGACTGGCCGACTCCCCGACTCGCCGACTCCCCGACTGGCCGACTCCCCGACTGGCCGACTCCCCGACTGGTCGAGTCTCCGACTCCTCGACCCCCCGACTGGTCGACTCCCCGACTCCCATATTCCCCTACTCCTCGACTTCCCGACTGGCCAACTGGCCGACTCCCTGACTCCCCGACTCGCCAACTGACCGACTGGCGGGCTTCCCGACTGGCCGACTGCCTTACTGGCCGACTCTCCGACTGGCCGCCCCCCCCGCCCCCCGACTCCCCGACTGCTGACCCAGACCCCCGACGTCATGATTGTTTCATGACCTCCCCCCCCAGAGGTCCCGACCCGTGCCCCAGGACCCGGTCCTGAGGCCCAGTAAGGGCCCCGCCATGATTCCTTCATGTCCCGAGGGGGTGGGCTGGCCGACTCCACGACTCGCCGACTCCCCGACTGGGCGACTCCCCTTCTGGCCGACTCCCAGACTGGCCGACTCCCCGACCCCCCGACTGGCGCCGACTCCCCGACTGGCCGACCCCCTGTCGCCCCGACTGGCCGACCCCACAACTCCGGGGAGTCGGCGAGGTAGTTCTTTCCGTTGCCTCAGAACTCTTCCTGGTCCGACCGGCCCTCTGGGCGCAGGTGGTCTAGGGCGCTTCCTCTTCCCACCCTCGTTTTCCTCTTCGGGGAGGGGCTCATCACTGTTCCCTACTGATATACACACACCCTCCCCCAGGCGACCGGCGGCCAACCAGGAACCATGCGGCCCCCCTTTCCACCATCCCTGTCAACAACCCATGCAAACCGTACTCTGCCTCCACATTTGGAGCATGCGCGGCCAACCCGATGCGGCCCCCATCCACAACCCCTGTCAACTAACAGTGCAAAACACTCTGCCTCCACATTTGGAGCATGCGCGGCCAACCCGATGCGGCCCCCCCACCATCCCTGACAAAAAGCAGCACAAAGTACACTCTGGGACAAAGGCTTGAACCATGTGCGTGGGGCCCGCGGTCACTGTGTATTGAAATTGACCGGGACGGCGGGGGTGTCAGCATCTTGCCTACTGTGCGCAAGGCTACCATCCCTAACAAACAATACTTAACGCACCTCGCGGCTAAATCTGGATCATGCGCTGCCACGCCGCGATCACTGTCAAGTGGTTTTTGACGGGGACGGCGGGGCTGGTGGCGTATGGCCTGCTGTGCGCAGGCCCACCAGACACAATGATGGGCATTGCTGTTCGACAAGGATGGTGGGGGCCGACATGTTTCCCGATGTGTGCTGTCACGTGCGCAGGCGCACCTGACACACCCTGCGCGTGCCCCAAACTTGGCGCACCTGGCGCGGTTGGAGTATGCGGCACAGCTGGCGCACGCGGAGCACGTGGCGCATCCGGCGCACCAGGCGCGCCTGGCACGCTCAGGCCCCAGGGGTGCCTAGCGCGCGTGGCGCGCCTGGCACGCGTGGCGCCCCTCGCCCCAGCGTCGCGCACATTTGGTCGGTTTTGGTTCCCAGTAGGTGCCCATCCAAAAACGACCGCTGAACATGCTGAGGCTCGGGTGTTACTCATGCGTTGGGAGGGCGGGTGGCAGTGAGCTAGACGGCTTGCTATCCAGGGGGTGTCTTGACCCCTCCCCCTACCCCCGCCCCTGGACCTGGACGGGGGGGTTCGCGAGCGGTCGGAGCGTTCAAGATGGCCCAAGACGGCTCCAAGAGGGCCTCAGAAAGCCCAAGATGACCTCCAAGATGGTTCAAGATAGCGCAAGATGCCTCAAGATGACTCTCAACATGCTCCAAGAGGCCCCCAGAACGTTCCGAGACGGCTTCAAGAGGCCTCCGAGACCTCCAATCAGGCCCCCAATGAGGCCCCCAAGGAAAATCAATGACCTTTGCATCGTTGCCCGTTCGCTTTCGACAGCCTCCGGAGGCCGCAGGATGGCTCCAAGATGGCCCAAGAGGGCCCCAACAGAGGCCCAAGAGAGCCCCAAGACGGCCCCAACAGCGCCCAAGAGCGCTCCAAGAGCGCCCCAAGAGCGTCGCAAGATGCGATCATTGGGGCTCCGAAGGGGTACGCTAATTGAAGCTCCCCTCTGTTTTGATCGATGTCATCCAAGATGGCCCCAAGAGCGCCCCTCAAGCCCCCAAGAGCGCCCCAACAGGGCCCCAAGAGGCGCCCAGACGGCTCCAAGAGGCCTCCAAGAGGCTCCCAAAGGATCCCCAAGAAGCCTCAAGAGGATCCCGGAGGCACCGAAGACGCTCGAAGATGGCCCTGGGCCCGTCCATGATGCCCCCCAGACGCTTCAAGAGGCCTTCAAAAAGCTTCCAGGAGACATCCGAGGAGACCCCAAACGAACGGTAACTGCTGCCCCACTCTTTGCGTCTACACTTTCCTGATCACCTCAACTCGCATGGGCGTCGTTTCTGGATGGGCTGGTGAGGATGCTTTTTCGTCGCGGCCGCAGGCGAGCGCGCCAGCAGCGTCAGAGATCGGGCGGGCTACGCGCGAACCTGATTGCCTGGCGCACGGGGACCGACGGCCGACTCTAAGCTGCCTAGATGGTGGGGGATGCGCGAAGCGTAAACGAAAACCCAGAGCCTCCTACTGCACGCCCTGGGCGTCCGCGGGGCCGCATTCCCGGACTTCCCCTGAGCATCTCGAAGAAGCATCGGCTGCACGTCAGGAGAGACCCCTCGGGGGCCGCGGGGAGGCCGCACCGGAGCGCGCAGGGGCGCACCCGCACCAGAGGTCGGGCATCGGACATCGGATATCGGACCTGCAGCTGTCGCCGCCGGGGGCGCCGCAGCTTGGCGCCGTGGCACCGGGCAGGAGTAAGACCGGTGAACAAATAACAGGGGATATGTCGACCCCTATCCCAGGCTTCGTGGGGTTTCCGAATGGACCAGAAATTTGGGGCCTAACCCTGGGATATACGATGGGGGGGTGTCCATTCTCGATAGGGGTGCGTCCGAATAGCCCCCTTGGGGTGTATCCCAGGGTTTTCCCATTCTTCTGAGCGGCCAGACTTTTCGGGCGAAACTCGGGGATTGGGGGAGAAACATCGCCCGCGAACAAACAACACACACACACACACCCATGTACACGCTAGCCTCGAGACCATAAGCGAGACATCACCAAAGATCAGGCGTCGCCGGAGCGACCTTTGGCGCCCGCACCGAAGGTCACTCCGGCGAGAGGCCGCCTGAACCGTCTACAGTCGGCCTTGACTGGAGAGGACGCGCGAGAGGACACAGAGACCCTTCCGAGGGCCACGCGGCCACAGAAATATGCAGGAGGCACGGGCCGCAAGACACAGGACAACAAGGGCACCCTTAGAGGCCGCCTAGATGGGGTCCGAGTAGATGGGGTCGGAGGGTCGCGCCGCATCGGCGATACATCGGCGATGCATCGCCAATGCATCGCCGATGTATCGGCGATGCACCAGCGATGCATCGGCGACGTCAGCGATGCATCGGCGACGCCAGCGTGGGGAAACACGGGCTCCACATCGAGCCGCATCGGCGATGCATCGGCGATTCGGCGCGATCCTCCGACCCCATCCACTCCGACCCCATCTGGGAGGCCTAGAACCCTTGATCTGGCAGGGTCGACCTGCTCCTCCGGGCCGCCTGTCGCCGAGCGCCTCTCTGGGCTCGCTCGGGCCTCCCAGAGCGTGCCCGCGCGTTCCCCCCGGGCCCCCCCAGGGAAGCCGCACGGCACGCTCCGGGAGCCGTGGGCGGGCCCCCTCGAGGCTCCGGGAGTGCCCCCTCGCGAGGGCTCCCAGCAGTGCCCCGGGAGCCAAAGGCAATCGAAGCTGGCACCAAGACGGTCCGCAGCCGCTTCCAATCCGACTGCACTGAGGCCACACATCAAGCTTATCCGAAGGAGGCTGGCAGCAGCAGGCGAAGCCCATTAGATATGAATCGGGCCGTCAAATGGAAAGGCGTTGTCCTTGTCCTCATCGCCCCAAACCCCATCAATTCGGCTATTCGTCACTACCTCACCCGAAGAAGGGGTCACTGCCATGCGGAACAGTATGTCGCCGTTACGCGATTCGAAATCCACATGCCAAGCCTCGTTGCCATTGGCCAGGGAGGCTGCAGACGACAGCAGGACGATTGAAAACTCATCGCCATCCTGGTATGTGACAAAATCCTTCGCTGTCGAACCACCCCCACATGCACAACACATATCCAAGAATGAGAAGTCAGAGTCGTCATAGTGTGCAGCATGCTCGCACATGTTGAGTGCAATCCCAACGTCCTCGCAGGATACGGCGACTGTCATCCCATCGAGCAAAAACTGAGCCGTCGCTCCGAAATTAGTGTTGATGCAATTTAATGTTGGCGCTTGCGTTGGTGGTGGAGTCGGTTGGGCCACAGGAGGTGTCCACATGTCCCCAAAAAGAAATGTAGGTTGTGGCGTAAGGGGAGTCCGTATGAGCGCAGAAGCATGCGGCGGTTCTGTCGTAGAGGGCATCCGCGTGGGGACGGAAGTGGGCGGCGGCTGAAGCGTGGGATGTTCCTCGGGAGGGGCATACGTGGGTGGTGTCTGAGGGGGAAGAAGACGAGCAGGTGCTGGCGCGTAAATGGGTGGCGGCTGTGGTGTGGGAAGCTTCCTCGTGGTCGGATGAGCAGTGGGTGGCCGTGCCGGCGCGGGCGGCGCAGCCGCAGAGTTCACGGACCCTCCGCTCGCCTCTGCGCTGCCTCTGGAGGAGGGCGCCCGAGCCCTGCTCGAAGACTCCCCGCCAGACTCCGTGCTGCTCGTGGGGGACGGGGATAATGCGTCACCCAATGACTCCGCACTCGACAACGGCCGAGGTGCAAGGAGTGGGTTGAACTCGGCCCTCGTCGTCTCAGAGGCGCTCCAGAGCAGGCGCCCAACGGCCAACAGAGTCACAATCAAGCCGCCCGTGCCCCATAAAATCCGGCCGCCGCTGCGGGGCTCCAAGCTACCGTCAGCGGGAAGCTGGACCATCCGGCCATGAGCCTAAATTGGCCTAAGGGCTACCGACGCTCATGCGCGGATACCCGCACACATACATGACCCCTCTCTCACTGTATATTCATGTCTATATATTTACATATATGTATACATATTGATGTCTCTCTCTCTCTCTCTCCGGGGCACGCGCACATGGTATTCGCACATGCGGATGCACAACACGCACACACACATATACACAGCCACACACATATCTATCTATCTATATATATATATATAGCGTCACTGTGCTGCTTAGCCATCACGCCGATATCTCGTTGTTCACACAGACGGTAAGTCTTCGCTGGAAACTACCATATGGCTGCTCAGAAACAACTAAATTCGGAAACCTTCTTGGGGCCTGAATGGATGCGGGCAAAACTGGGAAGGGCAAGCGTGGCAACCGGCCCCGGTTACTTCCCGAACCCGCCAAGCTCAACCAACTACGCCAGCCCAGCCGAAAATGATGTGATCTGCCGCATGGCCTACGACTACAGAACATGATTGCGTTAATACATGGTGCCCTTCCCTCTCTCCCTTCCTCCCTCCCTCCCTCCCTCCCCGCCCTCTCTCCGCCTCCTCTTAGTGAGCTGCGTAGGTTTCCCTCGCACTCCGTTGGTACAAAGTAGACAACGACCTCTCCGAGGCACTGCGCAGCTGATCATTTCCATACTTCTGCACGCCACCGCAAGTGTACACGACGAGCTGCCGAATCATTTGCCGATGCGCCGTCTTGGCGCGGCCTTTTCCTGTTCTGTCCTGACACAACGTGCATCCCGACCGACCTTAGGGCGCGCGGACCTCCGAGCTCTTATGCGTATGCCACCTCTTGTTCCCCTAGGCCTGGCTCGCAGCGGGGGGCCCCCGGAGGACCCAAACCGGCCCGAGAAACGGCCAAAGAGGGCCCGACAAAGATCCACACGCCCGCACGTCGCCAAGACGGACCAAACATGGCCCGAGGTGGCCCCAAGACGGCCCAAGAGAGCGACAACACGACCCAAGACGGCGCTGACGAACACCCAAGAGGCCAAAACGTAAGAGATACATGACATGCTGGATGCCTGTTGGCCTCCCCGCTGTTGCGGCTTCATGCGTCTGCGAGAGGTCCGCTTGAGAGACCGAGAGGACTCAAGAAGGCCTCACTTAGTGGGTCCCGGAATGGCTCAGGACAGCCCGACGAGAGCCTCTGCGCGCTTCCATCCGCCACCGCTCCCGCAGATACAGAGAAAAAGCGATCCGTCGACACCTGGCCGATTCCGGAAACCCTGAACCCAAAAATGTTGCCATCTCTTGGGAGGTCCAATTCTGCTTCCGCCGCCTTCCGCCGAGATCCCGCCGGCTTCCGCTGGCGGAGGCGGCCTCGCTTTCCTCCCGCCGCCCTCCGCCCACTCTCCGCCGCCCTCCGCCGAGGCAGCGGCGACGCCTCCTCCGACCCTCCAGAGGGCGAGGCCGCTTCTGGACCGCCCCCCCCCCACAGCGGGGCCCGCCCCCCCGCGCGCCGCACCACAACAACGCGTCGTCGGTGGACAGACCTCCCTTTCGTAAACCTCCCCCGAGTGAAAACGGCCTGGGACCGAGACCGACGGACCTGGACCCGCCACAGCGACGGCCACGACCGCCCTCTCGCGAACCGACAACGGCCAATTCACTCCTCGACGTGTCAGGGTGGGAGGTCTACCCACCTCCGAACGCGACTCCCGAGGCCAGGGCAGTGCGCGCCGTCCTCGGCCGCTGCGAGCGCGCGCGGCGCGCCTTTGGAGCCTCCTGCAGCGCGCGCGCAGGGCCGCTCTACTCGCGGAGGGCGGGCCGCTCGCAGGCCTCGGCCCAAGAACTCGCACGCCTCGGGGGGCTGCCGCCGTTCGGCGTCGTTCGTCGTCGTCGTCGTCGTCGTCGTCGTCGTCGTCGTCGACCGTCGTCGTCGTCGTCGTCGTCGTCGTCGTCGTCGTCGTCGTCGTCGTCGTCGTCGTCGGTCGTCGTCGTCGTCGTCGATCGTCGTCGCCACCTGCATTCGTGACCTTCGCTCGTCGTCGCCTTCGCTCAGCAACGTCCGCCCGCGGGATCCAGCCGAAACTCCCGCCTGGGGGGCGGGGAGGGCCTAGCCTTCTCATCCTCCTCATGTTCCTTCCACTCCTTCCCCCGGTCTGGACCACCCCAATTGCACACAGAACCTTGCACATCTAGAGGCCTCCTAGATGGGGTCCGGCTAGACGGGGTCAGAAGAATCGGCGATGCGTCGGCAACGTCGGCGTGGAGAAAATCGGGCTCCACATCGAGCCGCATCGCCGATGCATCGCCGATGCATCGGCGATGCGGCGCGATCGTCCGACCCCAACTACTCGGACTCCATCCGGGAGGTCTACGCAAACGATCAAATGCAGCAGCGTGCGTCGCAAACGCACAACAAAAGGTGAACACACACAAGAAAAGGCAATGTATTAACAAGCGCGCGGGGGTGGGGTGGGATTTGCGGGAGGGGGGAGGCGGTTAGGTGGTAATGACAATGATGGGGACGGGGACGGGGAGCGGATGGCCGGGGAGGATGGACAGGCTCTACGAAGAGGGGGACGCATGGGGGAAGGATGGATGGGGCACGTACGATCACGTAGGGATGCCATCTCGGGGGTTGGATGTGGATACCTGCATCCAACCTCGTAGTGCCCTTCCTGCGTCCTCTCTCCCCGCCCCCTGCCGCCGCACCCTGGCTCCGCAGGTCCCCCGTCCACCGCCGCGCCGCCACGCGCGCCGTCGGGGGCTGTCTCCGTGGCCGAGGCTGTTTCCGCGAGGCGGGGGAATGAGGCCTCCAGTCCCTCCTGCATCGCTCTGAGGAGGTACGGGGAAAGGGACGGGGCCCCTCTCAATGTGCATCGCCGCCGTTGCCGCTCAAGGCGTCCACGGCGGTACCGACGCTGACGACCGCGCTTCCCGTCATCTGCGCGGTGTGGGCTCGCTGGGCCAGTAGTTCAGGTCGGCCTTCTCGTGCCTCGGCTCGGCGTGGCCAGCTTGCCCTTGTCGTTAACTCCTTGCTCTTGCCCCTGACGTACTTGGTCTTGCCCATTTTGCCCGTTGGCGCGCTGAGGCGCTGCTCGACCTCTGTTTGAAGGGATGCCTCCGAGTCGTCGCTGGCCAGATCTTGCCAGGTAGTGACACTCTGGCTTCCAGGTGCCGTCGCGCTTGTATGCGATGTCGCCCTCACCGCCGTATTCGCTCTCTCCGCCGCTGGCTGGCATGGGTAACTGGCTCCGTAGCAGCTCTGCGGCTGAACTCGGGAGCGGCCAAGAGGGGGGTGTGCAAGAGGGGGGGGTGCAAATCATGACCGGCGGCATGTGCGCGGCCCAGCGGGGGGGCCAGGGACGTAATGAAATAAGAAGAGGAGGCGCCATGAAACCTGGGGAGATATCATGGCCCCCGCCATGATATCCCCCCCCCCCTAGTCATCACCCCCCTCTTTTCCGCCCCCGATGAACATGGCCTTGGCCTCTGTCCCTCTGGTATCCGGGCCTTGCGCTCCTCGTAATAGCCGTCAACGGTCGGGAGTGCCTCAGTGGCGCCAGAGGGCCCCGGCTGGCGGACCATGTCCCCCCCCTCCTCGCAGCGGCCTGCAGTCTGCATGCCTACGGGCACCGTCTTGTCATCAGGATGGTTGAGGGCGGGGTATGTGGCCTCGGCGATGGCCTCGGTGGCGAAGACCTCAGTGATGTCCACTCCGTCGCCGACCATGGTCCTAACGAAAATCACGCCCTCCAGTGCGGCGTACATGATGCGGGCCTCGCTCTGCTCTTCGCTATTATCGTACTCGTCGTGTCTGTCGTCGTCCACCTCGTCGCTCTCGTCGGCGCATTCCTCCTCTATGCCTCCGTGGTGCGGCGGCTTATTGAGGCAACGCTAAAGGGTATCGGCTGGCCTGGTGTACGACGGTTTCCACGTCGTCATCTTCATGACTGCGTGGTGGTAGTAGCGTCGCCCGTGTTGGCAGATAGCTTGTCCAGCCTGGTGGCAGGGAGGCTGGTGGTTGTACCGCGTGTTCAATGTCAATGTGGGGGCGACCGCCGCGTCTGCTGCGTGACCCCGTGATAGTAGTGCGTCGTGCTGGACTTGTCCTTCGCACTGGCCCATCCGTCTGGAAGGACGATCGGGTCCGTAACAGCGACTAGGTCTGGTACTCCGTCTTGCTCTGGTGGCTCTCGCAGCTCAGGTGGTTGACCTTGTCGCTCGTGTGGTGGTCCTCTACAGTAGCTCTCCTGGTGGCTCTCGCAGCTGGGCTAGTGGCCCTCGGCGTCGTTCTTGTGGCCTCGTCTGGGTGGCCTCGAAGGTGGTGGTCCTCGTCGTTCAACTGGTGGCTCTAGCAGCTCTACTGTTGGCCGGCGTGGCCGTGCTGGTGGCTCTCGAAGCCCTGCCTGGAGCTGCCGCTGCTCGGCGCGCTGCCCTGGCAGCTCGGCCGATGGCCATGCCTGTGGCCCTCGTAGTTTTCAAGGGGGGGGGGGTCCGGGCAGCTGCGCTTCTTGCCCTCGCTGCTCCGCCGGTGGCCCTCGCAGCCTCTGCCGCTCGCCCTCGCGCTCTGATGGTTGCCCCTGCTGAGGCTCTGCGGGTGGCCCTGGTAGCTGGACTGGCTGCTCTCGAAACTCTGCCTCTTGCCGTGGAGGCTCTCCCGGTGGCCTTGGTGGCCATCGTAGCTCCGCGACCTGCCCTCGAACTCTGGCCAACGTAGCTCTGCTGGTGGCGTTCGTATCCCTGCTGCTGGCCCTCGCAGCTCAACCGATGGCCCTCGAAACTCTGCTGAGTGCGGTCGTGGCTCAAGCGGTGGCTTTCGTGGCTCGGCCGGTGCCTCGAGGTTGTCGTCCGCCCAATCGCTGGGCGCCGTGTCTTCGCCGGGAGTGTAGGCGCCCTGGAGGTGGCCGTGGCGTCCGTGGCCATGGCTCAGGTAGCCGTTGTAGTCTTCGTATCCGTGGTGGCCGCAATCCAGGTGGCCGCATCCCAAGGGGCCGTCGCAGCCGTCGTAATTCTGGAAGCCCTTGTCCTG